CATGCGCTGAGCAAACACAAGGGCGGGGGGAGAGGTCGCAACGTTGAAGCCTGGACCCCTGGGGGGGGGGTGGGCGGCGGGAGCAGGCTGTGCTGTTTCCGTCCCTGCACGCCCCAAACCTGGGGGCTGCGGGGTGAGGGGCTGCCCCTTTGCCAGGAGTGGGACACGGACCACTCTCCCTACCCCACTCCTCGCCCAGAACCTGCAGAAAAGGGACCGGAAAGGCCCCCCGGACGCCCAATCCCCGATGCCTCCCCCTGAGCAGGTAGGTGCAGGGTCTGCGGCCCTGACGCCAGCCTCCCTCGGCAAACCGCACCCCTGCCCAACAGTCCCGGCAGGGGCGCGGGCGGCGGCTGGGCTGGGGCAGGAGGCCCCACGGAGGGCCTGATCCACAGTGTGCTCCCGCCTTTGAAGATGGGAAAAGGGGACCAGGCCCCCGAAACACACACCCCTCCTCCTTCCGGGATGCAAACCAGGCTCCTGGCCTAGCTAGCCAGCGGTTCTCAACCTGTGGGTCGCGACCCCTTTGGGGGTCGAACGACCCTTTCACAGGGGTCGCCTAAGACCATCGGAAAACACATCTATAATTACATATTGTTTTTGTGATTAATCGCTATGCTTTCATTATGTTCAATTTGTAACAATGAAAATACATCCTGCATCTCAGATATTTACATGACGATTCATAACAGGAGCAACATTACAGTTATGAAGCAGCCACGAAAATAATTTTATGGTTGGGGGTCACCACAACATGAGGAGCTGTATGAAAGGGTCTCGGCATTAGGAAGGTTGAGAACCACTGAGCTAGACTCTTCCCCCTGACCCGGGAGGGACCTGGCATAGAGCTGACCCCTCGCCCAGCCTCGGGGTCCCCTCGGAAATGAAGAGCCTGGACCGACCCCCTCACGGGCAGGTCTGCCATTTGCGGTTCAGGGGCTACAGTCCTGCGGGAGCTGCCTCGGTTCACAGCCTGGCTCTGCCGCCGCCAGGCTGGGTGGCCTCCACGCGGGTCACAGGCATGTCTGCACCTCGGTGTCTGCGTGTGAGCAGCACGGAGCAGGAGGCCTGGCTCCTGGGGGCAGCTCCTCGGGGGGAGTCAAGGTTCCGTGAACCAGGACGATGAGACCTGTCCCCTGGCAGAAAGGCCTCCGCACACGCTGATCACACCAACGAGGCCCCGGGCTGCTGGGTCACTGCAAGCAGCCGACTGGATCGGCTCTTTCTCCCCACCCGCCAGCCTGGCTGTCGCTGCGCCAGAATAAACGTGGCTGACCTGCCCCGGGCCTGACGATGAGCGTTTGTTAACGACGTAACCGTCTCACATCTCCGGACCCTCCTCCGCTGCATCCCAGGCTCGGTCCGGAGCAGCCATGTTGGAAGGAAGCCCAACCTGCCCCCCAAAACTCCACCTCCACCCCGGCTGCCCGGGCCCCCACACGAGGAGCCGCCCGTGCCTACAGCTCTGCACTCCTCCAGCTCAGTGCTCTCGGCCCACGCTGCTCAACTCACCCCTGCGTGCCTTTGATCTGAGAAGCCAAACACCCCCCATGGCAGTGGTTCTCAACCTTCTCGCCCTTTAAATACAGTTCCTCCTGTTGTGACCCAACCATAAAATTATTTTCATTGCTACTTCATCACTGTAATGTTGCTACTGTGATGAATCATCATGTAAATATCTGATATGCAGGATGGTCTTAGGCGACCCCTGTGAAAGGGTCGTTCGACCGCCAAAGGGGTCGCGACCCACAGGTTGAGAACCGCTGCGCTATGGCCACCTCGGGTGCTGTGCCCCCAGGGAGCTCCCCAGGGCCCCCCTGATGCCGCAGCTTCCGGTCTCTGCTCAGCTGCCCACCTCCCGGTGCCGGGCACTGCAGAGGTTAAACCCCAGGCTCTGGCTGCAGGAGGACCTGGGTTCGAGCCCCTGCCCCACAGCGCACTGGCTGGGACCATGGGTCCGCTCCGGTACTGCACCAGACTCCCCCTTTCTCCCCCAAAAGAGGCTGGCAATTCCCAGCAGCCGCAGCACCACGGGTGGCCCGGGCGGCAGGGGGGTGGGGGGGGCTTTGCTCCCCCATAATCTGTCTCCGCACCTGCCCCCGCTTTCTGATGCAGCCAAGTGACGTTTTCTCCACGTAAGGAAAAGCATTACGCGAAAGCAGCTTCAACACGTCGCATTTGGGGTTTTATGGTCATTTGTGACCTAAGATGTGTCACCATCGAGTTAAACGTCCGTACGCCTGGTGCGCTACCCCGCCCCTATGGAAGTACTGAGCCTGAGCAAATCCCTCTCCCTGCCGCAGTGTCCACATCTGAAAGGAGAAGTTTGGACTAAAGGACTCCTCGGGCCCAAGATCCCACAAGACGGAACTGGCCCCAGCTCCCCCATGGGGCCGGAGCCAGCGGCCAGGGTCCTGGGACAGGGGACAGGCAGGAGAGCCGGCCCCTGCCGGACGGGGGGCCAGGGTCCGCCGGATGCTGAGCAAACCCGAGAGTCGCCACCAGAAGCTTCCGAAGACCCCAAATCAGTTCCAAATGACAGGACTTCCCGGTTAGAAAAACCTCCTGCATCCGCCTGTTTCCATACTGGGGGAAACTGAGGCAGGGGGAGCTTAGGCCAGGGCAGACCTGAGCCGAAAACCCCTGACTGCCACACACCCCATCACCCAGCAATGGCCACGCACCCAGCAGTCTGGGCTTCCCCGATCTCCCCTCTGGAGGCGTGGGCCGGGCCGGGCCAGCCCCCTCCGGGCGGGGAGCCTCGGGTCTTATTTCCCAGCTCCGTGTCCTCTTAGAGCGGCTTCTCAGCAATGAGATGGGAACGAGTGGCAGCGGTGCCGTGGCACCAGCTTCGAGCCGTGGGGGCACGTGGCCCATCGGAACGTGGCCCATCGGAACGTGGCCCCGAAGAGCCAGGCGATTTAGTCTCCGCGTGTGATAGGTTTTATGACCAAATGGAACTGATGGAAAACCGTGCTGCCCGGGGTCGTCTGGACCGGAGACGGACGCTTGCCATAACCAGCTGGTGGCCTTTCCAGTTCCCCAGCCAGTCCCCCGGGGGTCCCCGAGACCTGCCTCCCGGGTCCCGGAGCGCTTACCTGAGGCTGTCACGGAGGAATCCCAGGCCAGCGAGAAGTCCGAGGCCTCCCCCTCTTCGACTGAAAGAGAACAGAGATGGGCCGTGAGTTCTGAGGCGGCACCAACAGGTCATCGGGGTGGGGCACGGACAGGAAGAAAACTCATTTGTGGGGACCCCTGTGACACCCATGATCGGGAGGAGGGTGAAGTCTACAAAGAGGACTGTACGGGTTTCATGGATGCAAAATAATCAGAATACGACAGAGTAGCAAGTAAGGGCTGTGTCCGCTGCTTTCCCCAGCCCTGTGCCCCTGGCAGACATCACCAATCAACCCCAGCTCTGTCTCGAATCGGATGCGGCTGCAGAATCCTCCTCCCCTAATAGAGCAAAGACTCAGATACCTTCCCAGTCTGCAGACAGCAACCTTCTTATATCACCACCGGATGTGGCAGCTTTCACCATTATCCCAAGAAATGCACAAGGGCCCCCTCACAGGTTTGGCGGAGTGCGGGGTGCTGTTCTCCACACGGAGAGCGGACCCCCAAACAGACCCCAGGGCAAGCTGAGGTCAACTCCCATGAGGCCAGCAGTCATGAGCCGGTGACATCAGAAAGCAACTCAGGTTTCCACTCCACCCCAGGGCCCACAGAGCAAGGCTGGACAGGGACGGGGCGTCCCCACCACCCCACACCCCAGCGCGGGAGGCCAGGCAGGTGGGGACGAGGCCATGGGCGGGGAGAACAGGGGGGAACTCTGTACAGCATCACAGGGCTCCTGTCCCAGAATGAATCCCGGCGGGGCAGGTAATAACATGCAAGCTGCAAGCTGGGTTGTGGACTTCGTAAAAAGGAACTTGTCGAAGCCAAAAATGTGCATGCGTGGTGTTTTCCGGACTCGAAGGCCTGCTCTGACGCCACACACGCGAGCAGGCCGAAGCCACCACGTGCCAGCCGGTGTGGCAGGTAACACGGCACAACTGTGAGCCGGGTGGGCCCGGGGGCTCCGCGGGCACTGCCAGGCCTGGGGGTGGGCGGCGGGCGGCGGGGGCGAGCCTGAGGACTAGCAGCGGCAAGGCCACACGCCTGTGCGCCGAAACGCAGGAGCCTCTGAGCGGCGGGCTCAGTAAAGGACTGAGATCCAGCATCTTCTCCTTTTCGTATGTTTCTGAGCGAAGGAACCCACGTGCGGTAGAAAACTAGGAAACATGTGAGTTCACACGAGGACACGGAGCACACAACTGTTTCCGTGTACGAACACAGTCGCAGCTTTCCCGCGGTTGTGACGAGGCGGGTACTGAGCCGCACAGACTGTCCTGGAACCGGTTTCTAACGGCAGCACAGGGCGAACGCCTTTCCCAGCACAGACGGGGACAGACCCTTCGAGATGAGCCGCAGCCTCGGTCTCCTCCCCGGGGCTCTGGGGCTGACGGAACCTATACCCGGCTGTTGGGCTCAGAGGCTGCTTCCATCTGGGTCACATCCCCGCACAGCATACGTGGCACAGCCCCGCCAGGATTGCCCTTAGATTAAGCTCCCAGAAGCCGGCTTGCGGGACAAAGAGTGTGCCCGTTTTTAGGCTTTGGAGACAAACTGCCAACGTGGATTGGACCGTTTCCACCTTACTGAGCACTGTGTGTGTCTCGGGTGAACGACGACGCTGAGCGAGGGACTATGGAGAGATGAGAACAGCGACGTTGACCTTGACCTTCAGCTATTAGACTGTGAATTTATGTGACAAGTATCGCCGTGCCCCTCCAGGCCTGGCACATGATAGGAGCTCAGTGAGTGAGTGAATGAATGAATGAATGAATGAACGAACAAACAGATGGACGGGTGGGTGGATGAATGAAGGAGCAAACATACTACTTCATGTTGGAGGATGCAAAATTAATTCTAATATCAGAGTGAGACAGAAACAAGTGGCAACGTAAGGACCACGGTGTGGACGCACAGGAGCACATGGGAGCCAGTGCAGGTGGCAGGCAGGCCCCCCGACACAGGGACCACCACCACCCACAGCCTGGAGCTCAGAGGTGGGCCTTGCTGTCCACAGGCCCGGACCCTGGAAGGCTCGGGGGGGAGGGGACTAGCACAGAGCAGGGGAGTTTCTACTTCACCCACAGATGCAGTTCTGAGTTCCCCACTGAAGGAAGAATGATCATCGCGGCTGCAAATCTGAAAAGTCTGTAGGTCCCTTTTCTAACGTAAATTCCCTGCTCCCAGATGAAGTTCAGGAAAAGCAACTCAAACTGCATGACCTCAGCAAGGAAAGGTAAAGTAGGGGCAATCTGACACGGCCACACTGGCCCTGCCCAGCCCAGCCCGGCCCAGCCCAGCCCGACCCAGCCCGACCCCACTTGGGGTTCCGCCCGTGGGAAGGCCCAGGGCTTCAAGATTCTCGCCCAAGCCCCCAGGGTCAGCCTGACCCCTGGCTACAGAGCCACCTTTTCCCCTGGTGAAGGGCTCGGGCTCACCTCCTCCGAGAAGCTCTCCCTGACCACCCGGGGACGGCTGAACCTGCAGCAGGGTGTAGTCAGAGCAAGATGCCTCGGGATCAAATCCCAATCCCCAGGGTTTGCTGTGTGACCTCTGCAAATCAGGTAACCCTCTCTGTGCACAGCGACCCTGCAAGGAGCTCTGAGGATACAATGAGAAGGTGCCTGAGAGGTACAGTCCAGAGCCTGGTACCCAGACGCCTGGCAAAGGGAAGCCACGACCTACAGCCTAACAGGTGGCCTCCGGCGGCCCCTCAGCCCTTTACGGACTGTCCCCTTTTCTCCCACCCGGCAGGTCACGTGGCCCACAGCAGTGAACGGAAAACAACCATCACTCTGCTCTCCATACACGTGTCCCATTTATGTGTAACCCTCCCCACAGCCCCACACAGGGGTTGGAAGATGGGCCCGTGTCACGGATGAGGAAAGCAAGGCCTAAAGTGGGCTAAACTGTAAACTCCATAAGCAGTGGGAGGTTGAGCCCAGGCTGCAGCCCGGTGGGCGCGGCTCCAAGGCTCGCTGGCTGCCACCACCCAACCTGCCCTCCCAGTGGACGCCGGACAAGCAGGCGTGGACGGCAGCTTCCCGGGCTTCCGGACCGACGCCGAGGAGCCACACGGATGGGCAGGCGGGGGTGGAAAGGACCCCCTTCGGAGCCCCGCAGAGAGGGGTCGGCGAGGTCTGCCCTGAGGTCCGCGCTGGGCGTGCGTGCCTCGGGCATCACCAACGCCCTCCCGCCCGCTGTGTGGCGCAGGGCACGGCGCTCCCCTCTCAGGGGCCTGGTCCCGCGTGGACGACGTGGGGACGACAGACTTCCCATTTGTTTCGAAGACAAAGTGGAAGACCACTGCCAAGCGCCAAGCCCGCGCCTGGCCCACCCAGAGAGACACGAAACAGGGTGACCCTGTCTCCAGCGAACTCGCTAGGGGTTGGGATGTTCCCTGAAAACGCCCTTTCTGGGGACCCCCAGCTTCCCTCCTGCTGAGTCCCGGCTCCCCCCGCCCCAGGTTAATCTCCGGTTCCCATGCACATTTCATCTCACACCTGGACGGCGCGTCCACCAGGGCGCGGCCGATCACCATGACTTTACCACGGCGTCCGGCTCCCACGTCCTTTTTTGGTGGCAACACCGGTGCTGGGCCCCAGCTGCCCGCTCCGGCAGAGGTGGCGAAGGGGCAGACGCCGGCGTGGCCCCCACGATGTCCCACACAGAGCGGCGGGGGGAGGGACACGCTGCTCGGGGCCGTGGGGCAGGCCACCAGCCTGAGGTCCCGGGGGAGGGGGTACCTGCCCAGACCTGCTGCTGTTGGGGGTGAAAAGGAAGGAGGGGGTGAGACCAGAATCCCACACTCTCGTTTTTCCACATTCATTTGAAGAAAAGTCCCATAAAGTAAAAGCTGGTTATTTTTGCCCTGACCAGTTTTGCTCAGTGGTTAGAGCGTCGGCCTGCGGACTGAAAGGTCCCGGGTTCGATTCCGGTCAAGGGCATGTACCTTGGTTGTGGGCACATCCCCAGTCGGGGGTGTGCAGGAGGCAACTGGTCGATGTTTCTCTCTCATCGATGTTTCTAACTCTCTATCCCTCTCCTTTCCTCTCTGTAAAAAACCAATAAAATATATTTTTTTAAAAAAAGCTGGTTATTTTTTATGGCCCCTAACAACCCGTCCTCTGCACTAACTGTACTAAAGCCAGCCCTGGTTACATGCATGCTCCACCTCAAACACACGTAACGAGGAAACTGAGCCTCTTATTGAAAACTGATGTCTGCATGTGTGTGTGTGTCTGTATGT